CCGGGCCCCCCCCCCCCCCCCCTTCCGGCGTACCATCTGTGTACATCGAGCCCCGGGTGGTGCCCACGATGTAGACGAGCCCGGAGCCCCCGTCTACCGCCAGCCCGTTCCCCAGGTCGGGCTCTGAGCTTCCCCAAGAGGTCTTCCACAGCACGCCTCCCGTGGAGTTGTACTTGACGACGAAGGCGTCGGTGTCGTCGTCGTCGGTGGTGGTGGTGCCGCTGCTGCTGCTGCCGTTGCTTGAGCTCCTTGGGACGGACTCTGTCCCGGCGAGATATACGCCGGTGGAGTCTGCAGCGACCGAATTGCCTAGGTCTTCTCCGCTTGATCTGCACACATGGTGCGGGGTGGGGGCGAGGGGCGAGGATGTACGTCGTCGTCGTCGTCGTCGTGCCAAAGTCACAAGTTCCTCGCAACGTGGTGCTGCATGCCCCATCTGCCATGATACTTAACTTCTTTGGGTCTACCTAGAGAGTGCGGGGAGAGACAGAAGTACAGCAGAAAGAGACGAGTGTACTTCTGTAGACGCAATAGCTATCTCCACCCATAGGCCATGAGGGCTGCCCGCGACAGGACCGTGGACACAGACAGGGTCATAGAAGGGTTCGTGTGTGGTAGCGGTGCGGCCAGCAGCGCAGTTTAGGCTTGTAGACCTCGAAAAGATCAGTCGTCAAGCCGCCTGAACTACTCTATATTCAGTATATTCAAATGATCAGTGAAAATGATCAGTGAGAGGGCTTGTCCACCCAAAGCTGGTTCTTGTACTTCTGTACTTCTCTGTCCCCTTCCCAATGCGAGCCCTGCCGGCTCACTACAGCTCCTGTGATTTTCCCATAACTCTCACAAGCACGCAAGCACACACCAGCACACACCTACCTTTACATCAGTGGCTCTCTAGGTTCGGGCGAGGGTATGTGTGTGGCTATGCTGATAGCGTATGTGTTACTACCTACTCTGCTGTAAATGTTGGACTCGTCTATGAGGCTGCTGCTGTGTAGAATAGCCGCTGACATGATGACTGTTCTGGATCTTGGGAGTGTACGATTTTCGAATTTGGAGGATATGCAGCAGCATACCACGATATCCTGGCCTGTTTGGGCTTGAAGTGCCCCTTTTCGCTGTCCTCCTGTCTTATTTTTACTGGCTTCCTAGATTCGGGCGAGGGCATGTATGTGGAGCTATTGATGTGTGTCTCTGTGAAAGGATATGGGGAGAGATTCATGGTGGTATTCGCATCTAGAGCAGTGTGCATTTTTCTATTTTTTTTTGGCCAGTCCAGGAACCTTGATATATTCCCGCTGGCACTAACGTCTTTGCATTGGCCACCGGGTAGCGCGGTCGATGCGAATCATAACGACACACCCATGTACCTACCTTCTGACTTGCCAACACCTGGCGTTGAGGGACACAGGGCGGAAACTCCATGGCATGCCACAACACCATCATTTACAAGCAAATGATCAATCAATGACCGGTCAGGACGCCCGTTGACCCAAAAGGGTTAAGCAAGAAGAAATATTCCGATGTTTTTATACAGCAGTGGTCACGTTCACGAAGGTTACAAGTATCGGATCTGGTGCCCTCAATACACAAAACAGACAAAATATATCTCGAGCGGGTATTTAGTCCTTCATGCAACCATCTTTTGTTCGGCAGGTACAGGGTTCCAACTTCCCTACATACACAAAAATATATGAACGCACACACGTGAGCGAGGAAAGCTCACCCATACTCGGCGACCCACTGGCGAACCCCCGAGGAGTTGTACGCCATGAGGAGGGCTTGGACGCTCGGCTGCGACCCGTCCGCGCCCACGGGCGCTCGCTGCCGGTAGCCGCTGATGTACACCATGCCCCCGGTACCCGTGGCAACATCCGTTGTCTGAACGCACGCACATCCACATGTTGTTCAACGCAGGGGACGACGAAAGGGGGGCAGCCCGATTGGGTACTATTTACCAACAGACCCGAACACAAAACACAACGGTAATAAAGCCGGCCCGCGATAAGCCGAGCATTTTGTTATCTTTCGTGATCGTTGGCGGATCATCCGATATGCACACTCGCGGAGTTTACACGTGTAGAAGCTTGTTCAGGTTTTTAAACCCTTACCACCGCCGTACAACACCTTGCAGAGAATGCATGACCCCTATTGCGCACAATGAGCAATGCAGGCAGGTGCCACACAGCAGTTAGAGGCAGGAGGACTTCATTTTCGCGCGACAAAACCCTGATTCCGCCGCACGTGCACGAAACCACACTTTTTACACGTTTGGACGTGCACTTTTGTTCCCTGGCATGGCATCTACCCCACCACGATTTTACGTACTACAGCAGTACACAAGACGCTTTCATGTGCATCAGAGCGGCGCCGATATTTGATGCAGTTATCCATGGTTGCTCTTAGGTGCCCCCTCCCCGAAAGGGGTGAAGCGGGTACAGCAGGGGGCAACGATGCCGTCTGCCGGTCGGTGTGCTGCAGTATACGTCGAAGTCTTCCCGCTCGGGTTGAGCAAGCAGGAGACATGGTAATGGATGCTGCACCGCTGGTGTGTATGTGGGGGTCGGGGTGATGACGTACCGCCGCGGCTGACACCCCCCCCCCTTCAGCAGGCCAGAAAAATCTTGGGCACCATCACGAGGCAGGTAGGCAGGAAACAGGAGACACGGACGTGCGACTTGCGTGAGTTTGCCCGACGAAACGCGCGAACACCGCCACATGGCATACCTGATCGGTGGCTGTTGAGTCAAGGCTGACCCAATGCTCTCGTTCCAGGCTATCGAGCGGGCTGGCCAGACCTCTCGCCGCAAAGAAAATAAAATACCCGCAGGCTAGCAACCATCGCCAGTGGCCCCCCATCAAATCAGAAGAAGGAGATTGAGTGCAGAGGCAGCGGGCGCCAGACGGGAGCGCGGCGTGGCCGTCAAGGGGTTCGGAATTGAGGGGTTATGAAACGACGACCATACGGCGTAACCCCTCGACAGGGGGAGCTTGGTGTGGAGCTGTGCTGCCGTGCTGCACGCTGTGCACCTGTGACCGGGACCACTGCGCGGGAACAAGAGAGCAGAGAGCCGGAAAATGGAACCACACCGCAGGGAAAGCACGGGAAAGTTCCCGTTGTCGTCGTTGGCCGAGGAGACATGCAGAGGTGTCGGCATTTCAGGGGTGGGTTTCAGGCGAACATCGACGGAGCGGGACCACGCCTAGTTTTATCAGGTCGTTGTGACCGGCTTTCTGTAGACTTGCATCGCCGATCGCTGTGTGTACCTTGTCGCAGTGCTACACAGCCGTACGCAGCGTTTGTCGTGGTGCCTGTCTGGCAAAGCGATTGCAAGAGACACGCTTCAAGGCGGATTCTCTCTGTCGGGATCTTTGTTCACTCAGAAAACAAACAGCAGGAACTTCACTGCTGTGTAGTCTACCCAACATGCATATACTCCGTACAAGGTTTGACACGAGGTGGTCCAGAAACAATCAACGGTCGCGTGTCGGAGCACGCGCTGGCACGCCAACACCGGTCGATTGCCTGTCGTTTGCTTTCCGTTGTTCTCATGTAGACTATTCTTTTCAACCTGCTTCACTAGCGAAGTCTCAATGTCCAAGCTAAATAGCCTTTTATTCAAACGTGTTGCCTTCGTTACAGGCGTCCCTTACAATACACGATCCCATTTGACCTGTTCATGTAAATGCGTAGGCCTGCTGTGTAGTGTACCGTAGGTTGCATGAGATGTCACACCCGCTGGACTAATTTTCAAAAGCTTGATTACTCGGCAGGGAAAGCAGTGACGATGCCGAAAATAGCGGAGTTGGAAGCGTCCCGTCGAGAGCTTTCCGAACACGTATCATTTGCCTCCGGCATCCACTTGGTCGTGGAGTGATCAAGCTTTGACAATCGGTCTAAGGGGTGGTGTATCTTCTGCAACGTATGGTTCTTCTGTCCTCCACGCAGGGCGGGAAAACTACTTCCAAGGTTTGGTTTTGTAGCATGTGCAAATGTAGGCTTAGTGTAGTAACTGAAACTGTAGTGACTGTAACTGTAGACCACGATGTACGGTGGTTGCATAAGATAGCACAACCGTGTGACAAAAAAAAGGAGGACTTGTGATCCGTGAGAGGGGGTGGTATCTCATGTCACACGTGTGATAAAGCCAATAAGAGTTTTAGTATTGATTAGTATTTATTCCTCACAGGACCCCGTCTGCTACATGCAACTCTCCCTTCTTCCCCTCGCTCCTCGACAAGCTTTTGCTTAGACATGGGTTGTAGCGAAGGGGGGGGTCTTTCTGGCGAGCAGGGCTAGACTCACCCTCAAGGGATGACCGAAACCTTCTTGCTGCTGCGCAT